ACTGTATGTAACACTTTAATGATGTTATTATTTCATCTCTTTACAGCTGCTTTCACTTCACTTTATTTAACACCTTTTCAAAACAAAAGTCTTCTCAGGGCCATATAAATCCAAATCTGATCTATTAATCCAGATTAAGACCTAAAATAAATCAGATCAGTTTAGTTACAACACAATCACACACAGTATATTATAAAATACATGTTAGTAAAAGTTAGTTATGTAAAAAAGCAGACAGATTGTGTTAAATCTGCACTTCGGTCTCACATCCTGAGCAACATGTTGGTGACAGTGGAGAGGAAAGACCCCTGTTTAACAGGAAGAAACCTCCAGAACCAGGAGACATCTGTCTCAACCCGGCTGGATTACAGAGGACAGGAAATGGATGCAGAGAAACAGGAAGTGGTCCCTATAGAGGAGGAAATGGATGCAGAGAAACAGGAAGTGGTCCCTATAGAGGAGGAAATGGATGCAGAGAAACAGGAAGTGGTCCCTGTAGAGGAGGAAATGGCAGTAATAATTATAGGTTCAAACACAGAGTAGTGAGAGTGAGGATCTGGGCTCAGTGTGTCCTCCTGTCTGAGTCTACAGCAGCAGAGCTAAAGGATAACTCAGGAAACCAACGTTAGCTACAGGATTAATCACACAGGATGGTGTTAACAGGCAGGATGTCAGCTTTATGGACAGAAACTGGAGCCTGAAGATGTAAAATATGTTCTGCTCTCATCGTTTTTGGTTTGATGGTTGGTGTGTTGTTGCTTTGGGTTTTAATAAACAGTTGTGTGTAAATAACATGGTGGAGGCGGGGCTTGGGGTCATGGGTTTTKTTGTTGAAGGGCTCCTAAAGTTTTCTGTTTGCTTTTTTTTAACCATATTTTCACTTATTTTTGCTTAAACTCAAGGTTCTTTTGGGACTTTATGACTTTAAGAACATATTTTCATCTGCTCACATGAGTTAGATTTATGTTTATTAATGCATAATGGTTGTTTTTTAATTTTCAGAGTCTGCAAACTAAGCACACTCAGGATGTCCACGCTGACTTCTCCCATCTGCTGAGCCAGCTGAACAAGGCCGACGCTCCGTACGCCCTGAGTGTGGCCAACCGGCTGTTCGGAGAGCAGTCCTACCAGTTTTTACAGGTGTGTGCAGGGATTCAGGTGTGGCTGTTTGCTCAGTGTTCACCTGCAGTCAAACAGGAGTGTTATCAGAACAGCAAATACTGATGAATCTGTCTTCAGGAAACACAAAGATTTAATAAAACAAGTTGTTCTGTTTGTTTCAGGATTACCTGCAACAAACCAGGAAGCACTACAACGCAGAGCTGGAGGCGTTGGACTTCGTTCAGAACTCTGAAGCAGCCCGAGTYCACATCAACAGCTGGGTGGAGAAGCAGACACAAGGTGGGGCTCGTTTTATTAAAACCTCTATAACTAGATTCAAGATGGCCGCCACAGCTGACACTCAGCCACTTGTTACAGATTGATTTGTTTTTTGTTTTTTTTTTTAGATAAAATTAAAGATATTCTGGGTAAGGGTGCGGTGGACGGCATGACCAAGCTGGTGCTGGTCAACGCCATCTACTTCAAAGGCAACTGGAACAAACAGTTTGATGTGAGCGCCACCCGGGACACGCCCTTCAAACTCAACAAGGTGAGAAACAGGAAGGATGGAAACTGCTGGAAATATGAGCGTCACATCGTCCAACACATCAAGTTTCTTCTGTTAAACTTGATTATTATTATTATTATTGTTATTGTTATTATTATTGTTATTGTTATTGTTATTATTATTGTTATTATTAATATGATGATCTGGAGCTGACTGGTGCAGAGACACATTCTAATTCTTGAGATAATGTGTTTTATTTGAAACTATAAATTTAAACCTTGCTCCATAAACAGGGTTTATAGAGGCGAACCTGCCAGAAAGTTATGAATAAACTAATGATTGTTTTCTAACTAATACAAGTTAAAAGGATAGTTTGCTCAGTTATCAATAATTAATAATCAGCTGACATCAACTGTAGATCACACAGTTTGGGGGAAAAGAGGCTAAGCTAACAGCTAGCTAAAACAAAGACTGATTTTATTGTTTTGAAAGCCGTTTAAAGAAGACATACCTGTGCGGGGAAAAAACTAATTGGCTAGTATTTAACTTCTATTTTTGTATTATTTTTATTAATATTTTATTATTTTTTATTTTACCATGAAGATAAAACTTGTTGAGAATAAAAAGAGTCTAATTTTCAGGAGTGCTCAGGCTAAAACTGACAACAAAACACAAAGTTTAATAAAACAAACTTTGACAACAAGATTTAACAATAAAACAAACAATTACACACAAAAACACATAATATATACTTTAAAATAAGCAGAGGTCTGTAAAGTACTTAAAAAAATAACAGAGTAAAAGTAAAAATACCTGAACAGAAAATGACTTTGGTAAAAA